CCTCACAGAATACCCTGCCTCACCCCTGTAGTGGGTCCCCCTCACAGAATACACTGCCTCACCCCTATAGTCCACCCAACAGGCTGGCATTTTCCTTGAGGTCCAGCATTGATGCTGCTCCTGACTTTTGACCGGCACCCACAATTCCGCAATTTCTCCCTAAAGATAAAGGCTGGGAGGAATACTTGTTTGTTCCAGGCGTGGGTGCGGCTCGGCCTTGGGTGTGCACCACCGGAGCACCACGGTGAGCGCGGCCACCGTACCCTTCCCACACACAACCGAGGAACAGGCACGCGCAGGCCCTTGAGCTCTCAGCACAGCCGGGGTGACACCTGCTGAAATCTCGACCTTAACGAAGTGAACTGAGGAGCTTGGAACGTTCCATCCGAAAGGTTAACTAATGTCAAATAACAGAAAAAGGCTCAAGAAGAAAATGGAGACGGCCCTGCTGCTCCTTGGAGGGGCTGGCCCAAGAGTGACTCGCCCATCACCACACTGTCCTGCCTGGGTTTTAGCAACCACCACTAAATCTCAGCGAGAAAGGCAAGGTCAGGACTCGTGAGCCTGCCAGTCCCAGGAGGGGAGGAGAGTTTCCCAGCATCGGGACACTGGAGTGAGCTGGGGGACAGAATTCCCCATCCTGGCAGTCATCACCCGAGGCCCCACTGGCCCCACTGCCCAGTACAAGGGGTGAACCCTGGGCAGCCAGGAGCAGGGCAGGATGGGGGTGTGGAACTTCTGCGTGGTGTTGGCCACTGGGGCTTGCCAGGGGTCAGCCTGGCACTCGCAAGACGCAGCCCAGCCACCTGGCCCCAGCCCTGGACGCCGGCACCAAGGCCACTGGGCAGTTGCTCTCAGGTTCGCCCAGCCCTGTAGCCCCTGCCTGCTGTCTGTGCAGCAGGCACAGCATGACCAGGGTGCAATGGAGGAGCCACCATCCAGACTGGCCCTGCCACGTGTGGGAAGTCAGCAGATTTGAAATCAGCAAGAAACACTGCCGTGATCAGCAGCAGGCAGCTGGAAGCCAACCTGCTGGGGAGGAAGGCAGAGGCGAGGCCCTGCAGACCAGCCACGAGCTGGAGTCATCACGGCTGCTGCCCACGGCACAGGGCGAGGGAGGGCAGCCTCACGCCTGCGCCCACGGCTCCCGGCACCCTGCGCCCACGGCTCCAGACATGCTGCCCTCTCCTACCCTGTGCAGACAGCAACCAGGCACAGGCGCTGGGACAGAACAGACTCCTGTGTGGGGCCTCAGCAGGCTGTGTGGTCCAGTCACAAACACAGCTGAGGACAGAGGCTGTGTGAGCCCTGAGCCCAGGGGCAGGAAGCTGCTGGAGGGCCCAGCTCGTGCCTTTAGTCTGCATATGGAGGCCCAGTTTGTGCTGCTGACCAGCCTATGGAAGGGTTTCCCATCTAAGAGCTGAGCAGGACTGGGCCTGTGACACCAGCTCATGGGACAGGCACCACAGGTCCCAGGACAGCTGGGTACAGCTGGAGCCAGGAAGCAAAGGGGACACAGGCAGGGCCGAGGTGGCCCACTCTGGGGCTCTGGGCCACACTGTCATGCTGTGACACTGCTTGCTGCCCTTTGCGGACTGAATGGTGTCCCTGTCTGGGTACACAGGGGACCCATAGATGCCGTTGAAATGGTGCAGGCAGAGGGACACACACCCAGGGAAAGGCAGGGACCTGGCAATGTGGCCAGAGCTGAGGGGTATCTGGGGCCCCCAGGCTGGGGAAGGCAGTGGGTATCTCTTCCTGGGTATCTCTTCCTGGAGCCCATGAGGGCCGCAGCCCGGGCACCTGGGTCATTCTGCCAGTTGCAAAGCTGCGTTAGCACGTCTGGGGCCATCAGTGCCTGGAAAGCAATCCAGCTCCCCCAGAATCTGCTCCCCACAAAGCCAGAACAGCCAGCTCCATGCACAGCATGGGCCGTGGTGGCTCCAGCTGGCCCCTGCACTCCTGGCACCCCCTGGGTGGGTCTGGGGGCCTAGGTTGCTGCCGCGGCCTGGCACAGACCCTGGCTCCCGCCCCTTCCTCTCTGGCCAGGCCCCTGCTCTGCCTCTGCCTCTGTGGGCTGGTCCTCTCCACTCTACTGCTGTCCCCACCTTGAAGCCAGCACACGCAGCCTGACCACAACCCACGAGCCACCTGAAGCGTGGCTCTGCTGAGGGCAGGGGTGCTCACCTGTAGCGGGCGACACACAGATGGACTTTCCCCGAGTATCTCTGCTTTGAGGTATTGGAGTTCCATTCATTGTCCATCTGTGGGGACACAGGCATGCTTCATGAGCACCGAGGTAGCTGGCACCATCCCTGCCAGGACTCCAGTCCCCAGGAAACAGACAGCCATGAGGTGACACCCCACCCACGGACATTCAACCCGTCTCCCACCCTCAGGCATCTGACAGTGCCAGCCACACAGGAAGGGTTACACAAGGGCCCTGGGCCCATCCCCACCTCTGCCCGCTATCTGGGTAGCTACATGGTGATTCAGCTGGTTCCCCTCCTGACATGCCCTGTGGGCAGCTGAGGGACAATTGGGGCATGGGAGGGAATGGCTAGACAGCTCTGCCCACCCGGGCCCCCACTTCAGCTGTCAGTAAGGAAGCTCAGGATTTGACAGGTGTGGGTAAAGGACACGGGGAGGGCAGTGGGGAGCACAGGCAGGCATCATCTCCCTTGGGGATGCGGGGGACGCAGCACCGGGCCAGTAGGAGGACTCACGTCGGACTCAAATCTGCATCTTGGGCTACTGGATCGTAAGAGGAAGCTGGGCTTAGTGGAACCCAGGGGCTCTGGCTTGACCCTGGGGAGTGGGGTGTGGTCGCTAGTCACAGAGTAATGGCCAGCAGATCCCTCGTGACCTGGCAGGGGACAGGGAGGCGTTGCAGAGGGGAGACAGGCAGGAGGCAGATACCAGTGGCTGGTCTGCCCCGCCCCCACACTGGCTCATCCACCCAGCAGCGCCCACCTGGCTGGATGAGGGTTAGGGGCCAGGGGCCACACGATGGGGGCCAGGCAGAGAGATTAGTGGGACACCCCCCCCCTGGCAGAGAGGTTTTGTCCTCCCTGGCTTAAAGTGGAGAAGCTGTGAGGCTCAATGACATTGCAGCCTTAGGGACCAGGGAGATAGCTCAGTAGAACGCCTGCTTGCCTGGCAAGCGCAAGGGCCTGAGTTCAATCCCCGGTTCTAAAACAACAACAAGAAAAAGACACTGCAGCCCTTCTGCCACCAGGAAGGGGAAAGCTCAAAGGCAGGAGCCAAAGCTGGGGAGAAGCGGGCTTGCTGTTGGCGAGTGCAGCCCTCCCCTCCCCCGCGAAGCCAGTCGGGCCACAGCAGGGGCACAGCACGCCCACCCCCTAGCAGCAGCGTGGAGCCCAGCCCGCTGACTCCCTGTCCTAGGGGAAGAGGGAGCTGATGTCACAGCAGTCACCTTGTCCCCTCTAATGTGCACAGTAGTTTCCTAGGGGCACACAGGGGTGCGGCGGCTTCTCCCTGTCCTCCCCTGGCTGAGCAAACATGAGGGAAGATGCCATTTGGATGTCTGCAACGCCCATGCACTCATGAGCAGCGCCTTCGGGAGCTGACTGTACTGTGGTGCTTGCAGCAGGCCTGCCCTGGGGAGCAGGTCCGCGTGGAAACAGCAGCCCCTGGGGAGTGGCCTGCGGGCCTGTGGGCGTGGCCTGTGGTCCTGGCCTGCGGGGGCTGTGGGCGTGGTCTGTGGGCCTGTGGGTGTGGTCTGTGGGCCTATGGGCGTGGCCTGCGGGCTCCGCCCAGCCCCTCTTCTTTCTGCTTCCTGTCCACCAAGCCTGAGCAGGTGAGTTCACCAGGCCCCCTTCCAAGCTATCCCCCGGAGCAGATGATGGGCTGCACACGAGCCCACACACGCCTCTCCTGCAACTCATGGGCACCGCGTCTCTGCGGTGAGAAGGCCCCTAAGACACCAATAGGCCCTCGGGGAGGCTGCTGCACGGCTTGCCCTCTTGACTCCAGCGCACACAACGCCAGCGGCTGGAGCGTGGGCCCCAGGAGCTCCCAGCCTCTGCCCTGGAGGGACAGTGGCCGGGTCGGGGTACGCCACCCACCACCCGGTCGGGACTCTGGACTCTGGCCAGGGTGATTTCCACCCAATCCCCCAGCACTCTGACCCCACGCTCACGCGGGATGCGGCTCTACCCAGGGTCAGGCTCTGCTGGGCTCACGCTCAGCCCTCCGCTGCCCAGCAGCCTCAGCTGCAAGCTGGAGTGGCAGAACCCGGGCCAGGGTCTTCTCAGAGGTGGGGACGCCTGCATTTTCCATCAGCCCTGCCCACAGGTCATGGTCTGCGGGGCAGGAAGGGACACAGTGCACAGCACTGCTCCCCTTCAGAAGGGACGAGTCGGCACCCTCACAGCCTAGGGCCTTCCTCCTACGGGGAAGGGGCAGGCGCAGCCAGCTGCACCCTGCATGGCCACAGGGCCGTGGTACCCAGCAAGGCCTCACCCTAAAAGCAGACAGCAGGAGTGGCAGCCACGACAGGGGGACACACTAGTAAAGGACCAGAGCCTCGCTGCACTCGTGGGTGACCTCTGGAGACATAGCCCAGAAAGCGTGACAGGCCATTCCCAAGTACAGAAGAGAGGGGCGAGGCTGTGAGCAGCCTCAGCTCAGGTCAGCGGAACGCCAGCCCCGGAAAGCTCCCGACACACCAGGACGCTCCAGGGTCTCCTCACACTGGGCTCCCGCCTGAACAGGCCACACTGCCCACACATACAGCCGTGTGCACAAATGGAACCATCATGCTGGGCCTTACACACATGCACAAGTGTTCGAGACCGGCCTGGGCTACAAGGTGAGCTCAAGGCCAGCCTGAACTGCATGCACAGCGAGACCTTGTTTCCAAAACAGACCAAAAAAATAAAAAATAAAAAATAGTGATGACGCTGAGACTCACTAAGAGAGAGGGAGAAGAGGTTGTTTCTAAATCCATTTCCCATCCCACTTAGAAAAAAATTCTAGCTTGTTTAATTTTCGGCGATTGCAGAATTAATGTACTTTGTAAATACCAATACTACTACTGCACACGGTGCCGTAAGTAGAACGCTGCCTTTTATTTCTGAACTCCATGCACTGTAGCAATAGAAAGGCAGGAGGGGGGACACTTGGCAGCACACCTTGGAGCAAAGTTAGGGCTGGAGCCCGAGAGTCGTCTCGGAACAAACGCCACAGCCAATGTTCTCAGGGAAGCAGGAAATGGGTTTTACCCAGTGTCACACCTCCTTTACCACTAAAGCAGACCCTTCCCAGCTCAGCTGCCACAGCCTCCCCAGGAAGCCACCCGCCAGCCTCGTCTGCCCGCACGCACATCCCTGCGCCATGCACAAGTGACCCACGCATGTCTACAAGCAAGTGTGTGCCTGCTGCTGTGCCCACAGACCCGACTGGCACAGTGTGACCCCGGCTGGCAGGAGGTGCCCCTGGCAGACTGGATCAGCAGGGCCTCCATGGTGCACACGGAATGGCTGATGCCAAAACCTGCTCTCCCTCTGGCAGTGCACCTGTATGCCAGCCGGGCACCCCTGTGACCAGCACCCCACAGCACACAGTGCAGAGCCGCTGATGGCCTCCAGGGGACTGCTGCATTTTCTGCTGACGGAGGGCGCTGCATGGTCTCATGGGGGGAGAGTGTACCAGAGGCTACTCCCCACGTCCTGACCACTGATTCCCATCTGCGCTGCCCTGGCTTGTCACAGCCTCAGCCCCCAAGTGCAGCCACAGGTAAGGGGAGAAGCCCGCACACCTCGGTCGTCCTCATCCCCATCCTGTTGGCCCAACCGCAGCACCCTGCACTCTTACACTTACACTGTGGGAAGGACAGAGGGAGAGGGAGGGGTGGGGGGCAAGGTCAAGGCGGCCGCTGCACTGCCTCTGATGAACAGCCCCAAAAGCCTTATCCCTCCTGTGGTAAGAGCCAGCAGAGATGTGGCAAGTGTCTAGGGAAGTCCAAAGTGAGGTTCTGTTGCTCCTCTCCCCTCGATTTAGGAGGGAAAATCAACTTCGTAAGCAGGAGGACAGAGCAGGATCTGTGGCCAGACTCCCGTCTGGTGTCCTGCCTGGCTCTCAGCCAGGAGCACGTGGCCGGCCCATGAGGTCCAGTCCAAGGTTGCCCAGGACCGCGGCCAGATCTGTGACACGTGCAGGGTGCAGTCGAGCCTGCAATTCCCACTGGGCCTCCTAAAGCAGGGTGGTGTGGGGGCAAAGCCACCACTGCTGCCGCTGCTGGAGTGGAGGGGAGTCCTCAGGCAGAGGCACAAGCTCCGTGCAGGGACAGGGACCAGGACAACGAAGCCACAGGGGGCAGCAGCATGGGCCCAGCCAGGCCGCGGGGTGCCCCGCTCTCTGTGTGTGTTGTGTGAACCCCAAGCACTTCAGCTTCATGTAATGTGGGCCTAAGGCTGGTGCTGGCCACTCAGGGCTGTGGACAAGCAAGTGCTTGGGGCTGCCCTGGGATCCCCACACGAGCACGGACGTCAGTGTCCTGCCCTGTCCTGCATCCTGCTGCTCAGGTCCTGCAGCCGGGACCAAATGGCTCTCACCGCGCAGGTCCACCAGGGGAGGGGGCGGCCCGGCCCGCACTCACCCTTGCCGATGGAGGTGGCGAGTCCGTTCATGGACTGCGGGAAAGCCTTGCCAGGGACCCCAGGGACGTCCAGCGAGGCCACCACACTGCTGCCCAGCAGGTCAATCTTCCCGGCGTGCTGCCGGAACTTCTCCAGGTCCCGGGACAGCAGGTGGAACTGCTCACTCTGCGTCCGGCATTTCTCCTCCAGCTCTCGGACCCTGCACTGCACTCAGGGAGGGCGGCTCATCAGGCAGTGCGCGGCGGCGAGGATGCACGCGTGTGTGCCCAGGGGTGAACCCGTGCAGCGAGTGCCGCCTCCACCGCCCAGCTCCCCTGGCAGCCTGGCTGGCAGCTGCGGAGCCAAGCCGCAAGTGCTGGGACGCCCTGCAGTGCTCAGCTCACAGCCAGCCCAGGGCCCGCCAGGCTGAGCGGGCAGCGAGCGGGCACTTGGGGGCTGGCGCCTCGCCCAACGCTGGGGTCTGGAGCGCGGGGCCAGGCTGGCTCTGGCTCGGGGGCACAGTCCAGTTGCTAACCCGCCCATGCGCCCCCCTGGGGCGTCCATCCCAGGACCACAGGGCCTGCTCCCGCTCCCAGCAGTGCCAAGGCGTTTCTGTGGGCTGGGCAGGGTAGCAGCATGGGTGCTGCTCACAGACATCTCGGGAAGCCAGGGACAGGACACACACAGGACACGGGCCACGCCTTGAGCTCCCTCCACAGGCAGGACAGGCCTGGCAGTGGCCCCCTGGGGAAGTGTCTCCGACCTTCACTGGCTGCCACTAAGCTGCCCTCTCCGTCCCTTGCGCTTGTCACAAAAGGGGGTCCCTTCCACCTCTGCACCTGCCCTCGCCGCCTCTGCATCCCCCATATCAGCTCCCTGACCATTTCCTGTCTGTCTGCCTCTGCTTGCTGGTTGGCAGATGCGGCTTCAATGCCGTGCTGTCAGGTGTGTGGTTGGGGCTCGGAAACCGTCTGCCGAGTCAATGAAGAGGCTGGAGGGCTGTTCTGCCATCCCTGTGCCAGGGCGGGGGTTGTCGCATCTGCAGCAGGCCTGCCCCTTGCTGCGCCCATGCCCAGCTGGCCAGTGCAGCCACCCTCAGGCTGTCCTGCTCTCGTGCCTGGCCTGGCTCCCTGCTGGCACCAGGGCCAAGAGGGCAGGTGCTCCTCTTCCAGCACCCCGTGGTGTTCCCAGCAGTGGGCACCAGTGCTGGCGCCATGCCTGCAGTGGTACCCAATCCACGTTTAACGCCAACAGGAGTGCAGGGGTGGGGGCTGCCCAGGCAGATGCGGGCTCAGCCGCAGGCCTCCTTCTCCCCACTCCCACGGGTGCCAAGCAACCAAGCTCCTTTGTCCAGAACAAATCCCTATTTGTGTTGAGATCACAGACTTCTAAAAATAAATCCAGCAGGTCTCAGGCCTGTAATTAACGCCTGCAACTCATCTTAAAGTTCAGCAGGATCCTTGTTTTAAAGAGCTGAATGGGTTTGGCTGGGAAGGTGCTCTGTATAAGGAAGGGGCACAGGGGTGACACCAGGCACCGCGGGGCCGGGGCCAAGGGCCAGCTCAGCCCTGGAGACAGGATGGCAGGCTCCTGTGTGCAGCTGCGGTCTGAGCAGTGTGGGCAGAACAGGGTGTGCCGTGGATAACCATTATCCAGGGGGCTACAGGCACTGCAGAAGGTGGGGCCCAGATGTGGGAGGCAGCAGATAGGTCTGGTGTGTGCAGGAAACTTCCCTAACGGCCTCCCTCTGCTGCTGGTGCCTGTGGATGTCATCTGACCCCACTGTGATGACACAACCAAGCCCTAAGGACAGTGAGTGGGGTTTCTGCCAGTGGGGGCGATCTGGGAAGTTGCTACTGGGAAGAGAATCCTCTGTTCACTGGCTGTGGCCGGATCCCACAAACCCACTTATGCAGCCAGGCCCCACAGAACTGAGCTCCAGATGTGGCCTGCAGCCCCCCGTGGGGACCCACCCTGGGGAGCATGGAGGGGTGCACGGGACCATTTGGGGGTCCTTGGGAGTCCAAAGTCACTTCCAAAATAAGAGGCTGAAAAGTCGAGTGCAGGCACCACACGGGTGCAGAGGAAACTGAGGCTAGGCTTCAGCCAGGGCTGGAGCCAAGGAAGGCCCTTGTGCAGGCGGCAGGATCCCTGGGCCCACCTGGTGCTCCAAGGCCTGGGGAGGCGGCCCCACATGTCCAGGGGCCCCCGTGGATGAGCAGAGCAAGCCTGTCTCGCAGCCAGTGTCAGTGCAGTGTAGATGGCCAGCATGCACAGCCACGAGCCACAAGCCCAAAAAGGGTGGGACCACCGGGGCCGCCCCATGAGTCCCAGCTCATGGGGGCCACAGACAGCTCTGCTGTGAGACAGGAAGCCGTGCAGGCCACACCCAGCTGACTTGGGGTAGGGGGAGCTGCTCAAAGGAACACCCAGGCTCAAGGACATGGGGCGACACGGAGCCAGCCTGCTATAGTGTATGTCTGCACGTCACCCCAGGCCTCACAGGTGGGCTTCCGGCACGGGCTGGATCTAGGGTGTGCGATGCTGGGAGTAAGGGCCTGCGGTACGAGATCAGCCCATGGACTGGAATCAGCATAGCTCTGTGCATAGACAACGGGAAGGCCCACCCCCAGCACCACCCAAAAGGCTCCTAGCCCGGACGGGATAAAAGCGAGGCAGGCTTGCTGCTGCTGCTGCTGCTGCTGCTGCTGCTGCGGCTGCGGCTGCGGCTGCTCACCGCCTCCTGCCTCACTGCCACGGGCTGCTCCTCCTCTGCCAGCCCCCTCTGCCATGCTACCTTGCCCTGGCGCTGGATCACTATGAACTGAAACCTCTACAAACTGGGAGTCAAAATAAGTGTACAGTGCGCCTAAGGAGAGTTACCTAGAGAGAAAACATTCTCTCAGGCTTTCACAGAGAGCAAATTGGTCAAGCAATGGCCGTGACTCATCCTCATGGCTGACACTGACAAACGATCTACAAACTGCGGTGCAGGGTTTCAGGGTAAATCCTGAGGGGATCTGACTGACCTTGTCAGATACAAAAGTTACATTTCTTGTTATATAGGTCTTGCTTTATCTTGGTCTTAACCATCCAGCAGAAAAGTATAAAAAC